TGAATTAGAATTATCAGATTGGTAAATATAAATATATATTTGGCCAATTTGGCCAGCCAAAACTTAAAAAAAATTTTGGCCATTTTGGCTGTGGCCAATAGCCAAATAGCTATGGCCAAATACTGGCCAAATGGCCAAATGCCAACCCTGATGTAGCCAGATAATTCTAATAATATCTTCGATTTCTACCTTATCCTTATTTTTAATTTTGCTCCACTCTTTTGCTGCTGCGTCACAAAATTTAGCACAGTTGGGAGTACCATTTTCTATTTTAACTATAATACTATATACATAAACATTGGTGAATTCTTGATACTTATTTGTTGGTGAATTGTATATTGGTTTCTTATCAAACTTAGGGCTAACAAAAAAGGTTTGATTGCTCATCTTTGCACTGGAAATAAAATTATAATTAAAATGTGAAAGTTAAACACGTCATGAAACTTTTAGCAATCTGAATTTCTTTTTTTGTAGCGAGAGTGCACAAAATAATTCCTTTCGCAGCAATGTGCAACAAGATATGATCCTATAAAGAGAGGATCAGCATCATATTTTTTTTCGATTTTGAATCTTTTCAATTTTTTTTAATATAAAATAGACTATTATATAATAAATTTTACTATTTTTTTATTATTTTTAAATTTATCATTTTTATTATAATATATTTGATATGATATTTTACAACTGATATAACATACTGATATATAAATTCTATAAAAGGAAATTAATCAATGTGTATGTGATCAAAATATCTTATCTGGAGGTGGGGATTAAAGCTTATAATAAAGTAGTATTAGGTAATATATGTTACTGCCCTAATTGGAAAATATAATTTATTATATTTTTTTTGAGAAGAAGCTGCCTCAATTTTAAAAAATTTATATTATTAGTCCAGAGCGTTAGCAAAGGACTAATTACTTTCTATGCATTGTGTTTATTTGTCCGCCTGCTTATCATTTGAGACAATGAATATCGGCTATTTATAAATACTGTAGTACATTTTCTTAAAAAAGAAACTGCCTGCAACATAGATTTAATAAATTCTTCCTAAAATGTGTTGTATTTATTTTTATTAGATGTAATGATATATTCAATAATATTGACATAATTAATTCACATGATATTAAACTCTGAACTTCACAACGGTGATACCGTTCTCTAGTATAACTAAATTCTATTTTTATTAAAAACTAATTAGAATTTTATTACATTCAAAGAATAGTTACTAACTTTATTTAATCTTAATGCTTATTTGATCTGAAATAAGCTTTTATAACAGTCATAATAAGAATTTTATCTTATATTTCTAGGTTTAGTTATTGTAAAATGTTTACCATAAAGTTCTAATTGAATATTTCTTAATTTTCCAATAAAATATGTATATCAAGAATTTGTAAAATAAAAATATAATTTTATAGTATTAGTTGATGCTTTTGCAAAAATATTAGATTCTTTTAAATTTTTTCTAATTATTAAATTATATTGATAAACAAAACATAATAAGAATATATATTCAAAATAATTAAGCCAAAATTGTTGTCCAAATAAAAAATAAATAAATAAATTAATATTAAATTTATATTATTTTAATTTCATTTTTTATAAATTTATTTTATTAAAAACATTTTTAAATTTTTTTTTATTTAAAATAAACTTATTGTATTAAAGTATATGCAGTGATGTATATTTTCGATGTTCTAAACATTTTGAAACTGTCCCATACTATGTCCCAAAATGTTTCACATTAAATCCCAATGTTCCAAGCCATGTCTCAAAAATGTCTCATGACAACACTGAGTATATATATGCTATAGCACTATTGCTTATAATTGCAGCTATTTTATTGATTATTGCTTTAATTCTTATAATATATTTTTTATTTGTAAAATAATATCAATAATGTGTTCTTTATGACAATTTATATTTATTACCTTCTATACTATATTTTTATCAGAAGGCATTATTATTATATTATTATGATCTTAAGTATTTCTTGATTTATAATATTTTTCTATATATCAAAATAAGTGTAATACCAACCTGTTTATGTATTTGATTCAATTTCTCTTTCAATATTTTTAATAAATTAATCTAATATGAGATCTGCCAAATGTTTTCTAACTGGTAATTTTAAATTTAGATTAACTAATGAAAAATACTTAGATAGAAGAATTGTTAAATATTGAAAAGCCTAACTATTAGCTATTATCATTTTAATTAAAAATTATAAAATATAAGAATTCAGTTTTGTTTATATTTTATATAGTATGTTTTAATAGCAATGATATTAATTTTTATTTCTTATTAAATTTAAAGATCGTTTTATAAATTTTGTAAAACTTATAGAATTTGTCAAATTTGTTAAAAAGCTTGAAATAGAACTAGTATCATCTATATATAATAAATAATAATCAATTAATATTTCTTTTAGAAGAGAAATCTAAAAATTTATATTTACCATTCAAATATATTTATTTATTTATAGATAATTTATTTGTTTTTTTATTATTTATACAATTATTTGATATTTTATTTGCTTCTTCTTAGAGTTCTGAATCAGGTCAGATTAACCTGATCTGACCTGAAAAATCCAAGTTAAATAAACAAATTTTAGGTTATCATCAAACCTGATAAAATTCAGGTTAACTAATCAAATAAAATAAAATATTTAAAAAAATTTTTTAATATATTTTTTTTTTAAAACAATTTAATTTTATTTGATATACTTTCTTTATATTCTAGTAAAGTTGTATGTATAATTATTTTGTAATTTTATTATAATCAAAAAGTTAAATTTTAAATTATAAATATTTTTTGCAATTATATTGACTAACAAATTATTTTTAATTTTTTTATCCATTCAATTACTTTAATTTTAGCATTTTAGTCAAAGAAAATTAACTTTTGTTATGTATGTAAAGTTATTCAGCGAGTTTGAAAATAAATATTTATTATGATTAGATTAATAGCAGTAAAATTATAAATATTTTTTGTAATTATATTATCTCATAAAATTTTTTTATTTTTTTTTATTTGTTTAATGACTTCAAAGAGTAATTAATTTAAGCATTTTGATTAAATAAAGTTAACTTTGATCATATAAGTAAAGTTATTCAGCAGGTTTCAAAGTATGTAAATATAAATTTATTATAATTGGATTAATAGTTATAAAGTTATATATGTTTTTTTGTAATTGTATTATTTCACAAATTTTTTTATTTTTATTTTTTATCTATATAGTTAATTTAAAACGCAATTTAAGCATTTTGGTTAAAGAAAATCAACTTTAGTCACATAAGTAATATTATTTAGCAAATTCAAAAATATGTGTATATAAATTTTTATTATGATTAAATTAATGATTATAAAGTTATAAACATTTTTTATAGTTGTATTAATAGTCATCTGACTTGCAGACTTTATTTTTTTTTGAAAATTTACTAAAATAATAAAATGTAAAAATGTATTAATGTTTTTTTAAAAAAAAATTTATATTATTTTTATAATTGACCTAAAATCATGATATATAGGTTAGGTCAGATCAGATCAAAAGTATATTTAATTTATTTAATTTAAGTAATTTTATATCTGATCTAATATATTTGGAGTTTTACTTCTTCACCATATTTATTTCAAAAATTTTTATAGTTTGATAAATGTTTTTTAATTCTTTTTTTTTTTTATTAATTATAGGTTTGGCTTTTTTTTTTAAAACCTCATTACATGCTTTATATATATATCATCAGTCTTTATCTTTAAACTAACTTTTTTTAAAACTAGGGAATGGGATCTGTTCAAAGTCCAAAGCATGGTATATAAATTATAATATATTTCACATGATTAATTATTTTGTAACACAAAAGTCATAATACGTGATAACGTAAACAAAATGTCATTGGTTATCAGGCTTACCAAATTTGGACAGATAAAATGACCTTGCATTTAAATGATCTAGAAGTAAAATGTCCTTCACTATGCTTCAGACAATTATTATATATAAAGAAAAATTATGTCTAGAACAACTTTTGTTTTTTTAATTTATAATTCAAAAAATTTAAAAGAATAAAAATAAAATAAAAAAGTAAATTCAAAGAAAATAAATTAAGAGAATAGAACCAAAAAAAAAAATAAGAAAATAGAAAAAAAATAGATTATTAACAATAATCAATTTTAAATTATAAATAAAATTTATTTCTAATTTTAAATTTTAGACTATCTAAAATAAGTTTTAAACTAATTCAAAACCTAATTAGATAGTTTTAAATTAATTTTGGATTGTTTAAAACCTATAAATTTATTGGACAATTTTATTAACTATTTGGATATATCCAAAACTCATTATTGATTTTATTATAACATATGTAAATGATAATCTTCTGTGATGAAATTTTATAAAATCTGCCTAAAATTATAATGTTTTAGTAATACTGACAATTATTATTTCAACACAAATTTTTACTTTATTTTTTAAATCTGCTTATTATTATTTTATTATAAGATTTTTTCAAAATTAATTCATATTAAAATATATCATGTTTAATTTTTTTAAAAAGATTTTAATGATTATTATCTAAATATTATTATATATTGAAAAACTCCCTTCATATACACTTAAATGACTAGGATGTGAGTTACTTTTTTAACATTTTAAATACAAAAAAAGGATAAAATTAATAAACCTTAAAAAAATATTTAATATAATTGGTAGATATATAGAATAGAACACACAGTTTTTTTAAAATCTATAATTATCTATTAATTTTTATAAATTTGCTAAATCTATATGTTTTTACTTAAAGTAAAGATTATTATTCCTATTCTAAATTATATATTTTTAATACAGAAATTTAATTATATTTAATATTATTTTATTATTACATGTACATATAATTCTGAATTATATATTTTTAATATAAGAATTTAATTAAAACTTATGTTGAATTAAATATATTTAATGATAACATATGTATACGATTTTGAATTATAATTTGTAATATAGGAATTTAATGCTATTTTATTAAACTTATGCGATTAAATTAACATTCCTTAAAAGCTAAAAATATATATAAATTAATAAAATATATAAAGTATATATTTATTGTTCATATTAAATAATTCAGATTAAACAAAAATCAAATACAATATTATTCAACCTGTATATGTATCACTAATTTTAAATCTATGATAAGAATCATAACTCTACATAAGATTTTGTATGATTCTATAATCTTATGTAGAACTTTATTATAATCTTTTATAATTTTATAAGCTTGTAATACTATATAGAATTTCACTATAATATTTTATAAATCTTACGATACTTTAACTTTATATAAGACTTTACTATAATATTTTATAAACTCTTACAATACTATAATCCTACAAAG